CCCAGAAAACCAGAACCCAGGATCTAAACACATTTTCGGTCACATTCCTGCAAAAAAAATTAACCCCACCTCTAGTAACTTGTTGACAAGGTGACAGAAATTGATGATATCAGGTCAAAACATCTAGTCAAACATGGCTTAAGCCCACCAGCAGCCCAGACGCTAGAAGTGCATTTACTTTATTGGGAGTCAGCAAAGCTTAACAGGTTTCAACAAGATCTGAACAGACTGGAGGTTTGAATTATACAAACACATTTTGGTGCCAAGAGAAAACACTGTAGAGTGGTTTACGCAACTCAAAGAATAGAGAATCTGAGTAAATTTTTAAGCAGGGAAAGAGAAACCAGCCCATTTCTAGAAAATTAAGGAATTAATACCTGACTGAACATTTTCAAACTGTAAAACTTAACCCCCTAGTTATTTTAAATTGGTTTGCCATTTTATCTGCATTTATTTTAAATTGTTTTGTTCTGGTTTGTTTTTACCTCTTTCAAGAAAAATCTGGTGGAAACGCAGAAAAATTGGGAGGTTCTTCTGGAAGGTACTTAGCCTTCTCTTGGCTCCATCCCGATGGAGATTGAGGGGGTAAAAGTCCTCCATCTCTAGGCATAAATGGAGCCCAGAAGAAAGTCACACCATGTGTTGATTTCTGTTTGAGATAGGTTTTCTGTGAACAAGGACTGTCTTGATTAGGGGAGGATGTGCAACAGGGCACCTGCTAGCCAGGGAAGGACCATGTAAAGGACATTGCAGTCCAACCTGCCCAAGCTTAGTGCCAGTTAAAGGATTTGTGCACTGACTCTGTGTCTGTGTGTTTCAGGTGCTTTGCTCTGTGTGGCGCAGGTCCTTGGTCTTCTGCTGGCAGCCCGCTGAATCGTTATACTAACACTGCTACAGTAGTTGTCTATTACTCTGTTAACAAATTACCTCAAAATTTAGCATAAAACTGCAAACCTTTATTATCACACTAGCTTTTAAGGGTCAGGAATCCAGAAGCAGCTTAGCTGGGTGGTCCTGGCTCAAGCTCGCTCAGGAGGCTCTGTCCAATGTGTTGGCCAGGGCTACCGTCATTGAAGGCTTCACGGGGCTGGATGACCAGCTTCCAAGATGGCTGCCTCCCATGGCTGTTGGCGGGAAGCCTCAGTTCCTTGATGGTTGAGCCACTGTAAAGGCTGCTTGAGTGTCTTTGTGAGTTGGCAGCTGGCTTTGCCCAGAGGGAGAGATCTGAGAGAGCAAGGCAAAAACCTCAGTGTCTCAGAAATGACATAGCATCCCTTTGGCAGTATTCTGTCGGTCCCTTGGACCAATCATGATAGGATGTGGGAGGAGATCACACAGGGTGTGACTATCAGGAGGCAGGGATCATTGGAGTCTGCTTTGTGGTCAGGCCACTACAATGCCCAGAATAATGGATCATTGATATTCGTTTTAGTATTTCCCTCTCCCTGTTTCAAGTGACCCCTTTTCCCTAATACATTAATGTTTTTGTTGTCTTTTGGAATTAAAACAAATCTACAAATGTATGAATGTATACATGTTAGTGCTAGACTTTATGGGTCTCCCCTCCAGAAGTATATTCACTTTAAAAAAGGTTTGCTTTGGGGGGGTGATGGAAGTATTCTGGAATTAGTGGTGATGGCTATCCAACATTGTGAGTATACTAAAAGCTGTTGAGTTGTGTACTTTAAAATGCTTCAAATATGTTAGGTGAATTTTATCTCAATTAAAAAAAAATTTAAGAGGGAGCCTGAATAGCATTGATACAAAGTTTGCTGATCCAGAAAGATTTATGGTTGCTTTCAGCTCTTTGTATTCTGTTTACTCTCTTAGCTCAAAACTCAGAGTATGATTAATCCAGAGACTATCAGGTCCTGGGAAAATTGATTTATGGTGTCCGTACACGGATAGGTCGGGGTCTGCTGGAAGTAGAAGTACTGGTGCAGGGGAATGGCAGTGTTTTTCAGAGTGCCATTGATGTACATTCCTATGATTCTAACTCCCATGATCCTTCTGCTAAGAAATACAAATAGTGTATCTTATGTTCACCTAACAAATGTTATCAATAGATGTGTGTGAGCTTTGAGAAGTTCCCTCAAGAGCACTTTTGCATGATTTGAGATTTCACTTGGCATTTGTTTTCCATTATGTTGTATTGTGTTGTCAGTTACTTGGAGAGGCTCCGGAATTTTTATTTCTTGTATTTAATACCGTTTGTGGCAATGAGAACTGAGTCTGCCAAAGCTCTTTGTTTTATTGTTGTCATGCTTGCACCATCCTTATTAGGAATCAGGAAAATGAAGTCAACATCACCTGGCACTGATTGTCTGCCATGTGCCAGGCATCACGTACATTGCATCACTTACTACTAACCAACTATCCCAATTAACTATTAGTGATTGTTAGTCTTGAGCCTCAGATTGGTTACATGGCTTTCCAAGAGGTCATATTGCCACTTAAAACCGTATCACCAGAAATAAGACATTTGAACACAGATCTGTTTACTTTGGAGGAACTCAATAAATTGTAATCAAATTCAGTGAAATTAATGAAACTGAGCTCATCCGACTGGATATGTACAAAGATTGTATGTCAGCTGGAATTCTTCCTTCCTGTTTACCAAATTCTCTGGTACCTGACCCTCATCATTCTGTGATTCTGGGGAAGATGTACAGAAATAGGGGTGAGGAAACCCGTGACTTCCAGACAGCTCCTGACCTTGTGCTTTCTTCTTTTCCTCTCTCTTACCAAACTGGGGCAGAGTTGCTGGGATGTGATCAAAGCTTACACATGTTGGTCAAAATCATGGGGTCAGCACAGCAGCTGCTCAGTCCTCTCGACGCCTGGTGAGTATTTCCAGTCTCTTGGAGGCCTCTTTTAAGTTCTGGTTTTCAGGTTTTCTGGGATGACTAGTAAAATGGGGAAGCACTGTCTCTCAACATCAGACAGGTCAATCATGTGATAAAGTGCCTTTGTTATATGTGTTCTGCATTGATATCTTTTATTAACTGGAATCATAAAACATCTTACGTATAAGCATACACTGAGCAGCAGCAATGAAACTTTCATAGTCATTGAATGTTCATGCCTTAAAAGAAGGAAATGAGTCCAGCGGGTTCAGTGATGCCCTGCTATACTGACATAAGGGACCTTGGGTCAATGCAGATGTCAAATGGAGAGAGACAAAGAATACTTCAAAATGCCCAGCCAACTGCCATGAGATTTGCTGCTTGCTTTTGCATAGAGATAGCTCCGGAGAGATGGAGGGTCGGAGGATTTATAGAACTCTGGTCCTTCTGGGAAGTGAAGAAGGGAACTTCCAGAAGACAAAAGTCTTGTACCTAGGCTTGCGAGCGGATATCCCAAGATAACCCTTGAAACCTGATTCTACTCTTCCATGCCTTCTGCAGACCAATAACCCGGGTCCAGCACCACCAGGCCCAGGAATCTCTGGAAGCACCTCATTACATATTTCTGCATCAAAACCCCCCACGATCATTGGTAGTCCCCTTTCACCAGGGCTGAGAAGTAAACAAGGAAAGGAAAATGAAAAATAAGAAATTACGTATTTTTTATGGCTAAAATCATGATAAAGAAGTTTCTGCTTTAAGAGCCTGGATATTGCGAGTGTTTAATTTGAGTGTCTTCACACAGTTTGGGGAGGAAGTTTGAAATGCTCTTGCATGCCAGAAGCCTAATATTTTCATTGGTAGTGTAGACTTTTAACTAAGGAAGGTATTAAAAATATTTAATAACCAGTCAGGTAATAAAAATTGATATGTAAATTTAGAAACTTAAAAACATATCTTAATATGAAAAACTAAAAATGAGAAAAACTAAAAATTCACGTATTTTATAAAACCACTTGCCAAGTGATTAAATTGTCTTATAATTCCTCCAGTCAAATAATTTCCAAATCACTTGTGATTTTTTAAAAAAATGGTTTATATGATCTTTTGTTGGATGTGGCTGTCATTCCCAGCTGTGTATGAGCTCTGATTGGACGTAGGTTCCCTCTGCATCAAACTTCTTCATAATTTCCCCGTTCAATGAATCATTTCAAGGTGATCTGTGATCCCATGACCTGCCTCGGGGTTTCTGTTTCTCATCTTAGCTCTTAAATCTCCCCACTGCTTTCTGGGCTTCACAGCTCCTTTCTCGCCAGGCCTGCAACCCCTCATTATCCAGGACAGGACTACTGGGTTGCTTGCGCACCAGGAGCCTGTCCTGGGATAAGTGAACCAGAAGGTTGGGGGAGGGGTGGTAGGGGGAGTGAGGGGTAGGAGGAGGGCTCATCCTGGTGGCCAGGAACCTGCCCCCCTTTGCCTCCCGTCACCAGGGCAGTGGGAGATGGCAGCTGCAGGTCCTGTGTGGGTCCACCAGCAGTCAGCCCATGCAGGCCCCCACAGACACTGTCAGTCAGGTTTCCTTGGCCATCTCGGCTGCACTGCTAGCAGGGACAGCTGGTGTCCAGGTCCACTGGTGTTAACAGGCCCTCATGCAGTATCTGTGTCAGCGGTGACAAAAGTGCTAGCAGCACCACACCTGTTCCAAGGCAGGATTTTGGCCCTTATTTTTGGCTACGCAACCTCTAAGATTAGTTTTCTGGTTCACACCAATTCTGAGCCTACTCAAAAATCCTTTCACCATTTCCTTTTCTGTTTAAACAATACAGAATTAGTTTTCTTATTGGCAACTATGAACGGTGGTTAAATCATAAAATAACACAAAGAATTGGATTGTGTGAGGAACAGACCCTAACTCATGAAATCAGTTGGGTGGAGAAGTTAGGGCCCCATTATTTTAGGCTAGATGAATCTTGCTCTGCAGTTGTAAATATTTTGTCAGATTATCACCTATTGTACCGTTGGTCACAGACAGGATTAAAAGAACTATCAGGGGAAAAATTGTGCTCTACACTGGAATTTGACACAACATTGTAAAATTATTATAAATCGATAAAAAAAAGTTACCAAAAAAAAAAAAGAACTGGCAGGGGTGATTTAGGATGCTTTTGAGTATGATCTACTTTTGTAGCTTTCACAAAGTCTTTAAATAAAGAGATGAGCCTAGTCTGCCACACACTGCCTAAATACTTCCCATTAACCATTCTCTAGCCAAAACAAGAGACACAAGTGTAGGGAAATACTGGATGTGGTGCTTTGCCCACACAAGGCTATTATTTTGAATAAAATCAAGGTATAGGACATTGACTGAAGACCAAGATAACTGATAAGGTACAGAGCGTCAAGGATGTGAAGCATGAATTCTCAGACTCAGAGATGGGGCAGACACATGCTCTGATGCTAGTCCTTAGCCTATGAAATGAATATTCCTATGACATTTGTAAAGGAACTTTCCTGCTAAAGAAACCTGAATATTTGCCAACACTAGTCATAGATGGTTCAACGTCTTTAGTAATCTCCACACCACAAATCTGTTAAGGAGGCTGGACCCTGAGAAAGTATATCTGAACTTCAACATCCAGAGACACTAGAATTGGAGCTAACTGAAAAAGACATTGGGTTGTTTTCCTTTAAGAAAGCAATCACTTTAATTCACACAGGCATGTTTATCTTTGGAAGTACAGGTAGAAGTAGAATGTGTTTGAATATTGAATAACCAAAGGGAAATTGTAGCAGAATTTGTTATATGCTTACCCTCCAGCTACTTTCACCACTCTGTTTTTGTTCAGATACCTGCTTCTGCAAGATCATGTACATCATGAGAAATAAGCCTAATCTGAAGTCCTATCTAAGTCCATCCTGGTGGTCCATTCTCTTAACTAGTAATTGATTTATGCAAAGACATGGGATAGAATTCTGATCAGTGAGGCAAGAGGGGAAGTCTGGTTGGAAGACTTTTTGTCCTGAGAAAGACACAAAAAAGCAGTGCCTTTTCCTTTGAATATTGTTGTTTGTGAACATATTGCCTGAAAATGCAGTGATCTCTTAGCCTGAAGATAAAACCAAAACACATGGAAGACAGAATCATACAGAAGTGGACCCAGAGATACTGATCATACCATGAATGGAGCCATATTCCCTTGAATAGATTCTTGTTAAGTGACACAACAAAGTTCTTTAACATTTAAATCAGTTGGTTTGAAGATTTCTATTATTTGATACCCAAGTGATTCTATTGATCTAGCCCACAAACCTAATGCATTATCAGAGACTTTTTCACACTACATATACACCAATGGATTATGTTACGTGACATCCCTCCCCTTGGATCCCTCTCTCAAGTTGAGAAATAGCTGATTCTAAATTTCTATGGCAATACAAAGAGCCAATCTTGAGGGAGGATGAACCAAGTTAGAGGACTTAACACAACTTTATATCAAGCCTTGTTTTAAACACTATGGTCTTGGTACATGGAAAGACAAATAAACCAATGGAACAGAACTGAGTCCATAAAGAAACAGACATATACAGCAGTTCAATTTCTGACTAGTTACTGTACACTGCAATGGGGTAAGATAAGATGGTACTTTGAACAAATGGTATATGGGTATCCATATGGAAAAATTAAGTGGAATTTGGATACTTATGTAGAAAAAGAATTTAAATTATCTCACATCATCTTACACATCCTACAAAAATCAATTCCAGGACCACTGTGGATCTAAATATGAAAGAATAAATAAAGCTTTTAGAAGGTAACAGAGGAGAGTGTCTTCATGACCTTGGGGTAGGCAATTTTTTTTAATGATACACAAAAATCATGAAGGGAAATACTGATAAATATGACTACATTAAAATTAAGATCTTAAAAGTTCAATTAAGAGAAGGAAAAGTCAAACTACAAGTGGTCAGATGTATATCTGACAAAGATATGCAGAAGAAGAAATGACATCAGATATAAGACATATATCTGACAAAGAATATGTAAGGAACTCTTGCAAAGCAATAAGAAAAACACAGACAATCCAATAAGAAAATGCAAAAAAGATATAAAAATAGACCCTTCCCAGAGAGATATTCAAATAGTTAACATTTGACAAGATGCTCGACGTTATTAGTCATTAGGGACGTGCAAGTGAAAACAACAATGTGGTATCACTACAGAAGAATCAGAATGACTAAAATTAAAAAAAAAAAGTACTTGCAACCAAATATTAGTGTATTTGGGAGCAACTAAAACTCTCATATACTGCTGATGGGAGTGTAAACTGGAAAACTGGCCTTTTCTAAGAAAACTGAACATAATTATACCTTCTTACCAGTGGTATTCTGACGAATGCTTAACACTCTCCAAGTGGATTTCCAACATATATGTTCATTGATATTTTTGTTTATGTTCACACATAAGATAAAAGTGAAACCAAAAAGACGTGTTAGAACTTCACTCACTTGTCAGTTCCAAGAGCAATTCTTTGCCGAATTGAATAGTAGTTTTCAAATATTCAAAATATTTTCTCAATTTTTATGCTATTTACAATGTCATGGCTACCTGTGTGATATGCATTTATACTTCATCTGCATTATTAATATCTTTTCCAACTTTGTAGCTCTTGATGACCAGCGAAACACTGAGCCAGATCCTGATTTTCAGTAATTGTCAATTTCCATGATATATTTATTACCACCAAAACCAATGTAATGCTACGTGATGCTCTTAAATGCCAAGTTGAGAAAAGCTACAGAGTAGCACACCGTTATATTGTATTTCTACCATACAGATGTAATAAGGGCAAATAATGTTAACAGCACAGATAATAGCAAAATGGAGTAAAAGAAAAATAAGGAAGGGAAAGGTTTTGAGTGTTTATTACTATTAATTTTTAAATAATTTACTTTATTGTAAGTTTATATAACAACTTTTAATAATGTCTATGTTTAACAACTGAATTGTAAATTTCCTAAAGATTTAACTGTGGGCTCTTTTAAGCTGGTGCAAGACTGCTCCAACACACCACTGTTTACAGCCCAGGAATGACATTTCTTGATATATATCCACAGAAATACGTACATTGGTCCTCTAAAAGACAGGCATGGCAATTTTTATTGCAGCAGTATTCTTAAGAGTCAAATATTAGAAACACCCAAAGGTCCAAAAAGGATGGAAAATAAATTGTTGCATTTTCATACCACAGAGTATAAGTCAGCAGTAAAAATGAGCAAAGCACTGCTTCAGCAAATTCTCAACAAACAGAATTCTGAGCCATGTATGGAAGAGTAAATACTGCCTGAAATCAGACAAATTAATCTATGGTGAGAGAAGTCAGAGAAATAGTTATTTTCTGGGGTGGAGTAGGGTTGGGAGTGACTTGGAGGTGGCCTTGAGGAGCTTCTGGAGGGCTGACAAAATTTGATTTCTTTTCTAGTTGTGGCCCCACAAGTGGGTTCACTGCATAAGATGTCATTGACCTGTAGCCTTAATGCTGGTTTGTATGTACAGCATACGTCATAAGAAGGTATACATTTAAAAAAAAAATCACTTAGAGAGTGATTTTTCTCACTGCATATGCCCTCCAACAGAGAATGTTATGTGCTATCCTTTCCTTTCAAGAAACTGAACTGATTTTAAGACCAATCATTGGAACAAGTAAAGATGAGGAGTGGCTTATTGTTGGGCCTCTGAATGAAAATGAAAACATACCTTGGCTCTTGGGAACATCAGTCCCAGAGAGTGAAAAATGCTTTGTTATAAGGACCTGTTCTACTCTAAGAAAAAATATATGATAAATAAGACCATATTAAAATTTAGGGAAAGTGACAGAAACCAGCTAAGAATGATCAGGGATGCGATGTCTATTGATTGTCTCAGGGTTTCCAGACAGTGTGGGAAACCACATGGGACTATGACATCATAAACAGGGCGGATTGCTTCAATAAATGTACTAGAACATCACTGTCTCCTTGTGTAGAATATTCTGATTTGAGGTTTGAGATTATTCAGGAATGGTGATTCTGCCCTCCCAGGCTTTGTCTTACTGTAAGTATTGTATCATGAAAGCATTCTGCCCTGTCTGAGGTTTGGCCTAAATATATAAATTATTCTCTCTAGTGTTTTGGCTCTGTTTACTTACAGTGCTTAGAACAAAGTCACACTCCACATAATCATTAAAATGGTAACAGGACACTCTGAAATGTGAAAGGAATCAACCAACCAACTACATTTTAAATAGTGGAAAATGTTCAGGAAATTCTAGAAGGTCATAGTTAAAAGGCATTTAAGTCAAGTAATGGTTTTAAGTAGAAATAGAACAAAGTACTTGGAAGACAGTCTTGTTTTGTCTCTGTTCATTAAAGGAGGTCATATGATCAGTATTCACCTTTTTAATCTACCCTTTTCTCAACATTTTAACTACTAGGAATTCCCTTCTTAAAATCTCCCCTTATTCTCATGCTTTTTAAGATTCTGTATGCCAAAAAAATTACACATTATAAATGTTGATGCAAATAATCAATAAACAATCTATATTAAGGAACAGAAGAGAGCCTTATTCAAGTCAAGGTGGAAACTGTAGACTAAGAAACACAGCACAGATTCAAGAAGCGCTTGAGTCGTGTTCCACCAAACAACAAAATGGGAGAGGCAAAAAATACAAAGTTATATAAGATGTTTGTCAAGAATTAGGATTGGAGCCAGCAAGAAGTAAGGGCACTTGCTAAGCAAGGATTAACTGGGGTCTGAAATGGTTGCATAGTTATAAATTACAACGTTGAGACTATAAGATTGTAGCTGGCAGGTATTAGCAGATATTATCATGAAAATGGCTGATGGTGTCCATGAGTTTAATACAGTTCAGACAAATCAGGTTCTCGATGATGCAGAGGTGTGTCTGAAACCAAATCCACAGTGGCCACCCGTGTCCATTTTGGATGCCTGAACCACAGTTACTCCATTTTGATTTTTAAATGATCTTGAATATGTCTTCATAAATAATTCATTTTTATTTATTTAAAAAGATGTATGGTTGCCAAAGAGAACATTTACCCAGCAGGAGATAACGGGTATAATCAAAATTATATAAGAAATTCAATCCAAAGAAAAAAGAAGAACATTTTAGTTTTGCTGTGCTAACTAAATTAAAATATGATTTTAGGGACTTTTGCAAAATCAGAACTAGCATGCAAATTCAGATTACTACCCCAGTGCCTCTAGAGACCTAGGACACCAGTTTATGAACCACAGCTCTGCTGTTTCCTTATTAATGCATCAAAAGCTTCAAGAGTAGTATTTTATGTACAACGGATGCTGAGTAATTTTGGATATACTAGTTAACATCTTGTCTTTCAAAAAGTCTTCCACTCACATTTTTCAGTCCTTTACCTTGAGTTAAAACACAGAGAATTGTTATTAATGCAATATGGGCATTTTTCCATTACTCAGTGCTTCATATGCAATTTGTGAGTTGGCTGTACTTGCAAGGATTCTCCTCACCACCTGACATCACTTAGTTGACAATGCAAGGGCAGGAAAAAAACGTATCCTTGTCTAGTAAGGAGCCATAGAGGGTAGAGGTCCAAGTGACTGTTTAAAGTTAGTATGAGCTGACATACCAAACTTCCGTTGCCCACATTGGCCATGTTTCTCTGTAAGACAGCAACGGCACTGCTATTTGTCATTGAAAGGCCACAAAGTACTTTCCTATATCTTTGTCACCTTTCTTTCCCCTTAGAGGGAAATCAAGGTGTGTATTGTTATCCTCGGTTATAATATATAGAAATGTAAGCTAGACATTTGCCCAGCACCAGCTCAGAGCTTCTGACTCTTAACTCAGAGCTCTGTGCACCATGACATCATGCTGCCCGACAGATAATTAAGGGTTCTTTGGTGTTGGTACGGGTTGAACTGTATCCTCCCAAAAGATATGTTGAAGTTCTAACCTCTGTAAAAAGAGAAAACCCATGTGAAGACAGAGGCAGAGAGTAGAGCTATGCAGCCCTAAGCCAAGGAACACCGAGGATGACAGCTACCATCAGAAGCTAGGAGGCAGCAAGGAAGGATTCTGCCCAGAGCCTCAGAGGAAGCACGGCCCTGCTGACAAGCCTGATTTCAGACTTCTAGCCTCCAGAATTGGAAGACAGTAAAATCCTGCTGTTTTAGGCCACCCAGTTTGTGGCACTCTGTCACAGAAACCCTAGAAGACAACTACAAGTGTGAGCACTTCAATTTCATTTACAGGCAAGAAGCATGCAGGCTAGTTATTCCCCTATAATGAAAATCTAACACCTGTAAATGAACTGGGACATTTCTACAAGCATTGACATATGGGGGAACAAAAGGTATTTTATGCAGAGCCACTTCTCAGTCGTGGTTGTAGCTTTCCATACATCACTATCAAAAAACCTCCTCATGGGAGATAAAACCTCAGTGTGATTCCAGTTCCCTTGAAGTCACACCCTTTCCTGCACAGGTGATCTAATGCTCTGTACATAATACTCCTCGCTTTTGTTGGTGACTTGAGAGATGGGCAGTGTCAGTCTAAAAATGGCAGTATTGTTGGAATTAATGCTTAAGCAGGCAACAAACTCCAGACAGGGAGTAACTTAAAAAAATAGGATGAGGAAGAAAAATCACCTTATTCCACTAATGCTCTAAAAATAAAACGCAGACTCTGCTCTAAGAGATAGTCTACAAATGTTTCCAGCAGAGACCTGCTGAGTATTTCTAAATTGTGCTCCACGGAAAACTAGCCCATGAGCTATTTCTTAAAAGTGGTGTTTAGTAGTGCAATGAGTTTAGAAAACACAGCATTCTCTTTGTCAGAGAGAGTCCCTATTCACATCTGTATATTAAATCCACTGAGAAATCTTGAAGTGAGAAACATTGACACAACTATTTTAGCTAATATTGCATTTCCCCAAATTATTTGATCAGAAACTCCTATTTGTTACAGCAGTCATTAACATCTAGAAGTATATACTTTGAGAAACAGTGAGCTGTGATATTCTTGAATCTCGCTCAGTACGTCCAAGTTTACCTTATGTAGGAGCAGACTGACATATTTACTGTTCTCTGTTTCAGGTTGGCTTACCAGAAGAGGCACGCATGAAAAGCTTCACTGAATTACTGAGGATAAGGTATGGATTTAGGGTTGCGAGGCCTATGCAATTTGGGGGACCCCTCTAAGAAAAAATACAAAATGACCATGAAAACACAAAACTAAGTTTCCTCCTCCCGCCTTGGAATAATCCCAGATAAGGGAGGGTGTCTGAAGTTTATGCTTCATTCGCTGCATGGAAAACCCACGTCTGCTTAAAATCCGGTTGGCTACATGAACTAAAATAGAAACTCAAATTAACAGTGGCATAAACACCATAGGAATGTATTTCTCTCTCATGTTATAGTCCAGAGATAAGACACTCCTCAGGTGGTGGTGTGACTGCATCATGCAAGGTTCCTTTTATCTTGTTACTCTGTCATTCCTACAATGTTGCCTTTGGCACCAAGACCCTGGTCCAGGCAGCAAGATTGAGGAAGGGCTGGAAGGATGGACTTGGGGACACGCTGTGCAAAGAGCATTTAGAGCTTCTTACAATCCCGTTGGTCGGAATTCAGTCACATGGCCTCCTTCAGCCTGGGGGACTTGAGAAAGGAAGGCTCTATTCTGGGTGCTCAGGTACCTCAGTTAAATGTCAGTGGTTTTATTATTGTAGAAGAATATCAGTATTGGGGCATCTAGCATTTGCTGCCTCTCTCTCTGACTCATTAACTCCTCCGCCGCCAGCTTTACTGAGGTCGAATTGATCTTACTTTTAAATGTGCCAACTCAGAGCTTCGTTGTCTAGAACTACTGTCTTAAGGACTGAGAGACTGAAGTCCCTAAAAGCATCAGAAAAACCTTATACTGTATATGACTTTAGAAAAGTAAAGGCTTTTTAGAAGAAAGTAAAATGAAAAGCTTCATGGACTGCAGGGGTTCCCGCATTTCTTTGTACGCAAACCATACTTTCCATTTCCCGTGAGGCCCCAGAAGACGTGACCGAGCACGAGAGGAGGGCGGTGCCAAGTGAGATGAGGGCGGACCCGGGAGGGAGCTGCTGCCAAGGCCGCCTTTCCCCGCCCCCACCCCCGGAATCCGAGAGAACTGGGGGGCAGAGAGAGGGAGGCCAGCTGACTCCATTTGGCATAAAGAACCCTAAAGCTTTTCTTTTTTTTTTTTTCCGGATGGGGGGAAGCAGGAACGTAAATACTGGAGGAAGGTTTGAAAAAGAGAATCTGTACTTGAATTGTTTGGAAGAGAGAAATGGAGGGGAGGATGATCAGGGAAATCTGAGTAGGTCTTCCTGACTCTCTGAGCTATATATTCCTAGTAACAGCCCAGGCTTTCTGCTTGCGAGCCTGTCAACACTTCAGCGGCAGCGGAAGGTTCCTGGGAACCATCCTTGGGCGTTTGGCAGGCGCGCCCAGGGCCAACTGTGTGCCCCTCCGGGCTGTTGGATTTGGAATTGCTCTTTTAGAAATGCATGGCAGGAACAAAGGGGCCCTGTTGGTTATTTCCATATTCTGGAAGAATCTCTGCCTTGAGTGATGGTGTGGAGTTAATGTGATGTAAACTTCCCATACTCACAGTTTTTTTTAATTGTGATTTTTGCAAGCTGAGTTTGAGAGGCATTTGTTTGAAACGCGTACACACTTACAAAAGGGGTCTGTCTACCCAAAGAGGAGTTTGGACGCCGTTCCAAGCCTGGGTGTGGCATAAACCTGCCCTGGTAAAGCAAAAAGGCACAGAATGTGGACTGTAAAGAATCATCATTACCCTCAATTATGGACGACATTTCAACAACCTCTGTGCGTTTGTGGAGCTTACTAAACGATCTTGATAAAGAAGAGTGCTCTGTAATAGAAAAATCTGATTAAATCTAAGGAAAATAATTCTTAACCAGATGGAGGGAAAAAAATGTTGGCAAGGTCTGAACTTCTGTCAATGGCTAAAAGTTAGGATAAAAGATTAATAAATTCTAATACTTTATTCAAACAAAGCGCTGTTTTAAAAATACATTTGGTCTATGCAAAAATACAAACTTAGGTTATCTTCTGTATTGAGTAAATAAATTGTATAGTGCCTACAAGGCTGATTGATTTATTTAGTGCACTTTTAAGGTGGGTCGTGATTAATGATTTAGTAAGATGTGAACTGTTATAAAGGGTCACATCTATTCTAGTGCTTTTAAGTACATTGTGTTGACAGACCTGTGTTGTTTGTGTGCATCAGGCAAGACACTGGGGCGGGGATGGAAGGGACATAGAAATGGGTAGCTATTGTTGCCACAGCAAGTAAACTATCCAGTGGGAGGAGATAACTCAGGTCTACAAATAAATACAATTCACCATATTTCACAGTCAATGCCAAACTAGGGCTACAAGTTGTAATAGTAGGCTCCCTTTTTGGAGACTGACTTACTGTGTGCCAGGCATTATTATTTTTTTAAATTGAAGTATAGTTTATTTACAAAGTTGTGTTAGTTTCAGGTGTATGGCAGAGTGATTCAGTTATACATATACATACATATATTCTTTTTCAGAGTCTTTTCCATTATAGCTTATTACGAGATATTGAATATAGTTCTCTGTACTATACAGTAGGTCCTTGTTTATCTATTTTATATACAGTAGTGTGTATATGTTAATCCTGAACTTCTAATTTATCTCTCCCCTCAACCTCTCTCCCCTTTGGTAACCATAGTTTATTTTCTACATCTGTGAATCTGTTTCTGGTTTGTAAATAAGTTCATTTGTATTATTTCTTTTAGATTCCACACATAAGTGATATCATATGAAATTTGTCTTTCTGTGTCTGACTTTCTTCACTTAGTATGAGAATTTCTAGGTCCAACCATGTTGCTGCAAATGGCATTATTTCATGCTTTTTTTATGGCTGAGTGGTATACTGTTGTGTGTATGTGTGTGTGTGTATATATATATTGTGTGTGTGTATATATATATTGTGTGTATATATATATATATAAAACACTTTTTCTTTATCCAGTCATTTGTCAATGGACATTTAGGTTGCTTCCATGTATTGGCTATTGTAAACAGTACTGGTGTGAACATTGGGGTGCATATATCTTTTCAAATCAGAGTTTTCTCTGGACATATGCCCAGGTGTGGGATTGCTGGATCATATGGTAAGTCTGTTTTTAGTTTTCTAAGGAATCTCCATACTGTTTTCCATATGGCTGCACAAAACTACATTCCCACCAACAGTGTAGGAGGATTTCCTTTTCTTCACACCCTCTCCAGCTTTTGTCGTTTGTAGATTTTTAATGATGGCCATTCTAACTGGTGTAAAGTGATACCTCATTGTGGTTTTGATGTGCATTTCTCTAATAATCAGTGATATGTAGCATTTTTTTCATGTACCTGTTGGCCATTTGTGTCTTCATTGAAGAATTGCTTGTTTAGGTCTTCTGCCCATTTTCAGATTGGGTTTTTTGTTGTTGTTGTTATTAAGTTGTATAAGCTGTTTACATATTCTGAAAATTAGGCTCTTGTCAGTTGCATCATTTGCAAATATTTTCTCTCATTCCATGGCTTGTCTTTTTCTTTTGTTTATAGTTTTCTTTGCTGTGCAAAAGCTTATAAGTTTAATTAGGTCCCATTTGTTTATTGTTGCTTTTATTTCTGTTGCCTGGGTAGACTGCCCTAGGAGCACATTGCTGAGATTTATGTCAGAAAATGTTTTACCTGTTTTGTTCTAGGAGGTTTATAGTATCTTGTCTTATGCTTAAGTGTCTAAGCCATTTTGAGTTTATTTTTGTTTATGGTGTGGGGGAGTCTTCTAATTTCATTGATTTACATGCGGCTGTCAGCTTTCCCAACACCACTTGCTGAGGAAACTGTCTTTACTCCATTGTACACACTTACGGTCAATTAATCTTTGACAAAGGAGGCGAGAATATACAATGAGGCGCTCTACTTTTGTTTCCTGTGTCCAGGGGGTAGGCTCTATGCACTCAGCCCAGGACCCAGATGGGGCTGCTGTCTTACAGTAAGACCTTCTCCTGCCCATCTTGATGTGTTTTGGAAGCTAAGTGGACTCCTAATAATCTTACTCAGGGGCATCTGCCTTGCATAGGAATTATTGAGTTCTTGCCCAGCTATTAATAAATTGGCATCTTATTTTCCTGTTGGTTTTGCTCTCTGTGTGTGTAGATTTGTTGCTTAGAATCTCTAAAGAAGAGGGGAGAGGGAAGGAACAGGAGAGGGGAGGGGAGAAAGAGGAGGAGGGAGGGAGGGAGGAGGGAGGGAGGGAGGAGGAGGAGGAAGGGGGTCAGGGAGGAGGCTGGGAAGTCTTATCGCCAGTCCCAGGAAAGGCAGACACTTGGAGGGCGGATGGGGAAGCAGACGGGTGGCAGACCTTTCTGGCTAGTTTTTTTGGTTCCATACACCAAAGAAGGAAAATTTTCCAAAATTTAATTTAATTTTGCAAACACTATCGGGCCTGTAGTACGCGTAAGACACTGTTCTGGATATTGGGAGCCGGCCAGGCAAAGAGAGAAAAGAGTTAAAATAGCTTCCCTCGAGGAACTACAGTACAGAATTGAATGGATCTGGTCTATTATTGAAGTTTAATAGAAGAATTCACTTTTTCCAACTTACTGCAAACTCTACCAAATATCAAATGACAAATTGACTCATAAGATCTCTTAGAAGTGAGGACTGGGTGTCTTCCAGGGGGTTATATAAGACAATACCACTTAAAAATTGAGCTGCTTTTGTAGTTTTTTCTTGATTCTGGAAGCTTCATTTACCCTTCTCACCTCTGATAACAAAAAAAAAAAATCATGCAGAGATGCTACCCAACAAATGCCTTTTTAAGCAAAAGCAGGTCACGTTCTCAGCCTAGGATCCAGCTTTTTTCAAATTTCAACATAGATAACAGAAAACAAATGTTCAAAATGACTGTAAACAAAGAAACAAGTAAAAGATTTCCAGAAGCTAATGCTTTTTGAATTAGGTCTGAGAAAACACTATTACAACTGTTAGATTTAGCTCCATCTTAGGACATCGTCCTTGAAACAGCATAACTGGAAAAGTCTCTGCAATGTTCTTTCTCCCTGTTCAGTAGCATCTTCGCCTCCTCCTGGGCATATTATGCTACTAGACAGAATATAAACTTCATTCTTTATTACAGAAAATATCTACAAACGTCTGCAGGCATATTCTTAATATGTTTTGCTGGTTTTAATGCTTTTTTTATGATGAGTATGAGATTGATTGGTTGTTTGCCAAGTAGCTCCAGTGTTCTGTGACTCTAGCGCAATGAATAGTTTCAAAAAGAAACCAAAACCCTGGAGTTAAGAGGGAGAATCAAACATCTGCAAAACTATGAAAAATTGAGGTGGAAATGGATAAAAGCAGATTACACTGCTGACCTTTTGGGAATGGGTCCCAAGATACGCCTTGCATGTTTCTTCCCCATCCTTGACTCCTCCCAGAAGCCAAGTCTCCTATCAAATAAAGAAAGCAAGCTAAACACTTAAGTGCAACTGCTGTGACTTCACACACACGGTAAAGACGTACTGAAATGGACTCAGTGGAAGAGCATCAAATCATGTGAGTTTCCCAGAACGTGCCCTGCACTGGTGGAGACAATCGGGGACGTTTTATCAGGACTGTAGGAGGAGGGTGGCCTCTTGTACTCACAGTCCTCCCCACTCTTGGAGCAAATAGTAGGAGGAGGGTGGCCTCTTGTACTCACAGTCCTCCCCACCCTTGGAGCAAATACAGAAGGAACATTCTGCAGCTTTCCTGGGTATGAAATGACCCAGGAAAGACACGAGCATTTGCTTTTCACAGGGAAGAGAGGGGATCCTGAAATGAAAAGAGGATCATCAGGGGTTGCCGACAGAAAACACCAATGTTGCAAAGGGTGTCCCTACACTGACCAGGTTGAAAATCTCTGGTTAACTCCAATTATGCCTTTAGCGGGGAGCGTGGGAGGTAGCGAGAATGAGGTGACCGGGCTCCCTGCTGCCTGCCAGGCTGCCACTGCCCCCACTCCATGTCTACTCACGGCCACATCAGGGCCCTGGCACCCCGACCTTTTTGCAGCCAGCCACAAGAAGAGGTGTGCTCAATGTTCATTCCTAGGGCCATCATCTCTTCTCAATAAGATTATACACAGGAAGGGTCTCACCATCTTTAAAGACAGAGCTGAGGCTTCTGTTGTTCTAACTACTCACCCACACCAGCTGAGACCTCATTGTCCCGGATTCGAAGGGAACAGCATGTAGCTCACTGTCAGCTCTATGTACGGGCCTTATAACTGGCTGCTTTTGCTAAATCCTGGTCCTTCAGGAGCTAGGCTTCTATACTGTCCATTCGAGCTACTATATCAGAACACCACAGACTGGGTGCCTTATAAGCAGCAGGAATTTATTTCTCACAGTTCTGGAGGCTGAGAAGTCCAGGATCAAGGCACCAGCTGTGATAAGAGCCGGCTTCCTGATTCACAGCCAGCACCTTCTCTCTGTGTCATCAAGTGATGGAAGGGGTGAGGGGGCTCTGGGGGGGTCTCTTTTAGAAGAACACTAATCCTGTTGATGCAGGCTCCACCCTCATGACCTAAGCACCTCCCAGAGGCTCGCTGCCATACTCTCACTGTGGGCATTAGATCTCAACATGCACATTTGGGGGGTTCACAGACATTAAGAACAGACATTCAGACCAGAGCATAGCCTGTCCTCTAGGAGGCTTTGTTTCTTGTCTTGTCTTACAGTCTTCTAGTGGTTGGATTTTCTGGTTGCTGACTTCATTTTCTCCTTACTTTCAGCCACCCTTGGCCTATCAATGCCAACTGCCCACCCACGTGGGCTTTTTATGCATTCCTGACCCACTCTTATTTTGCCAGTTACCATGAGCTTTCACTCTGTGTATCGCCTGGTTTTTCCTGAGGACTAACTCTTAGCTTTAAGAGTTCCTTTGAAGCTCATGTTTCGGGGTACTGTTTGCTCCTAAAATAGCTGACCCTTGACCTCACTTGTTCAAAAACCTGGCTTCCTCTTGACACTGTGGCTTTAGTTGGATACTTAGTCTTTCTTTTTTCACTTTTGCTCATTTT